TGTGAATGCCGCAATTGTGCTGGGTGGTGGCGGACGCATGCGGGCGGTGCCACTGGGACCTTCGGTGGAGCTCCCTATGGGGCCACGAAGCGCTGTACTGGGTGGGTGAGACGCGGTCAGCAAGGGCTGTGCTGCGTGGTGGCGGACGCATGCGAGCGGTGCCACTGGGACCTTCGGTGGAGCTCCCTATGGGGCCACGAAACGCTGTACTGGGTGGGTGAAACGCAGGCAGGGAGCAAGGGCTGTGCAGGGTGGTGGCGGACGCATGCGGGCGGTGCCGCTGGGACCTTTGGTGGAGCTCCCTATAGGGCTACGAAGCGCTGTTCTGGGTGGGTGAAGCGCAGGGAACAAGGGCTGTGCTGGGTGGTGGCGGACGCAAGCGGGCAGTGCCACTGGGACCTTTGGTGGAGCCCCCTATGGGGCCACGAAACGTGCGAGGGGTGTGCCAGAATGGGGTGTGGAACCGCATGCCAGCGCAGCCACTGGGGCCTTCGGTGGAGCTCCCTATGGAGCCACGAAACGTGTGAGGGGTGTGCCGAAATGGGGGTGGAACCGCATGCGAGCGCAGCCACTGCGGCGTTCGGTGGAGCTCCCTATGGGGCCACGAGACGTGTGAAGGGCGTGCCGAAAAAAGGGGTGGAACCGCATGCGAGCGCAGCCACTGGGGCCTTCGGTGGAGCTCTCTATGGGGCCACGAACCGTGTGAGGGGTGTGCCGAAATGGGGGGGGAACCACATGCGAGCGCAGCCACTGGGGCGTTCGGTGGAGCTCCCCATGGAGCCACCCACGAAGCGTGTGAGGGGTGTGCCAGAATGGGGGGTGGAACCGCATGCGGGCGCAGCCACTGGGGCCTTCGGTGGAGCTCCCTATGGGGCCACGAAACGTGTGAGGGGTGTGCCAGAATGGGGGGTGGAACCGCATGCGGGCGCAGCCACTGGGGCCTTCGGTGGAGCTCCCTATGGGGCCACGAAACGTGTGAGGGGTGTGCCAGAATGGGGGGTGGAACCGCATGCGGGCGCAGCCACTGGGGCCTTCGGTGGAGCTCCCTATGGGGCCACGAAACGTGTGAGGGGTGTGCCAGAATGGGGGGTGGAACCGCATGCGGGCGCAGCCACTGGGGCCTTCGGTGGAGCTCCCTATGGGGCCACGAAACGTGTGAGGGGTGTGCCAGAATGGGGGGTGGAACCGCATGCGGGCGCAGCCACTGGGGCCTTCGGTGGAGCTCCCTATGGGGCCACGAAACGTGTGAGGGGTGTGCCAGAATGGGGGGTGGAACCGCATGCGGGCGCAGCCACTGGGGCCTTCGGTGGAGCTCCCTATGGGGCCACGAAACGTGTGAGGGGTGTGCCAGAATGGGGGGTGGAACCGCATGCGGGCGCAGCCACTGGGGCCTTCGGTGGAGTTCCCTATGGAGCCACGAAACGTGTGAGGGGTGTGCCGGAATGGGGGGTGGAACCGCATGCGGGCGCAGCCACTGGGGCCTTCGGTGGAGCTCCCTATGGGGCCACGAAGCGTGTGAGGAGTGTGCCAGAATGGGTGTGGGAGGGGGAGGAGGGGGGAGGAAGGGGAGGAGGAGGAAGGAGGAGGAAGGAAGAACGCGGGGCGACGTCTCTTCAAAACGAGGACCCAACACCACAAGATGGTTGGGAAAAAGTGGGTCAAGAGAGGAACCTCTGCGCGGACCCAACCCGGGGTCAAGCCGGGCCCGCTTCTCGAGCCGCGCCCAGCCCTGGCGACGAGGGGCCCCGCAATCCGTGCGGGGCCACCTCCGCCCCCCAGCCGGCTCGAAGGTCCTCCGCGCGAGGCTCTGCAAGCTCGCCTGCCGCGTCGCCAAAGGCGCCGCGAGAACTGCACAGGGCCGCCGCTGCGCCCGCGACCACCAGCACCGCCGCGACCACCAGCGGGCTCCTCAGCACGAGGGACCCCGCGCGCTCCGCCAGGGAGCGCGCGCGGCCCACGAGCTCCGCCTCGTCGAAGGTCAGCTCCTCGCTGGTGCTGCGCTCGCTTGGCCCCTGCTCCTGAGCAGAGGCAGGTCGGCATCGGCACAGAGCTGTCGGAGGCCCGCTCGGACTTCTCGGATCGGCGCTGGAGCCCCCTCCCTTGCGCGCACGGCGCGCCAATCGGCGGCTCCGATGGTTGTGGTTCGCAAAGGGTGTGGGTTGCAACCCGCGCCAGTGGGGGGCGGGCTGAAACCTTCGGCGCAACGTGTGGACCCCCTAAACCCTAACGTCGCCGATCTCAAACCATACCCCAGCGCAACCACACCCATTGCACGGTCAGCTCGTATCATCAGGATGCGCGGTCAGGATGCGAGGGCCTTGGACGGCCATGTCAACGTTCTCCGAACGAGGTTGGCCAACGAAAGTGGCCAAGGATGGACTGAGCAGGCCATAGAAGAGGAAACAACGCCATCAACATAAACTTTTGGAGCTCCGCGCGGATTCCTCGGACCGGCGCTGCCGATCCCAGAAATCAGCGCGGAGCGCCACACATTTATTTTTGTGTTTTTGTTTCTTCTTCGATGGACTGAGCAGGAAAGGCTTGAGCAGGGACCGACCGTCCAGGCATCCGTATAGTCCTACCACGAGATGTTCTTAGAACCCCAAGATGTTCCAATAACAAAAACAAGGTTCTTATAACAGTACTCCGATGTGTAAAACAAGACAGGCCCAACAAGACATGTTCTAAGAACATTTCCGCAACCCCCAATCGTTCTTAGAACATTCTTGGGTAGGCCTATAGGTGAACTAGGACGCTTCGCCACTGCTTGATCTCGGAAAGGCTGCTCATCTCACTGTGCGGGCCGACTGCAACAATCCAACCAAGGGCACCGCCGGAGGCGCCGCCGGCACAGTGCAGCGCCAGCCCAAGAAATCCGCGTGAACCTCTGAGAGCCCATGCTCGCGCCTTGTCCTCCGCCTCCTCCTCCTCCTCCTCCTCCTGCTCCTCCTCCTCCTCGTCCTCCTCCTCCTCCTCCTCCTCCTCCTCTTCCCCCTCCTCCCCCTCCTCAGCCTCCTCCTCTTCCTCCTCCTCCTCCTCCTCGTCCTCCCCCTCCTTTCTCTTCTCCTCCCCCTCCCCCACCTCCTCCTCCTCCTCCTCCTCCTCCTCCTCCTCCTCCTGCTCCTGCTCCTCCTGCTCCTGCTCCTGCTCCTGCTGCTCCTGCTGCTCCTGCTGCTCCTGCTGCTCCTGCTCCTCCTGCTCCTCCTGCTCCTCCTGC